TGCTCAAGCAGGAGACCCCAGACCATTTCAATCAATCAATCAATCAATCAAACAATCAGAATAGAGCTGGAAGGGACCTCAGAGGTCTTCTAGTCCAGCCCCCCTGCTCAAGCAGGAGACCTCAGACCATTTCAATCAATCAATCAATCAATCAAACAATCAGAATAGAGCTGGAAGGGACCTCAGAGGTCTTCTAGTCCAGCCCCCCTGCTCAAGCAGGAGACCTCAGACCATTTCAATCAATCAATCAATCAGAAGAGAGCTGGAAGGGACCTTGGAGGTCTTCTAGTCCAGCCCCCCCCCCACTTAAGCAGAAGACCCCAGACCATTTCAATCAATCAATCAATCAATCAGAATAGAGCTGGAAGGGACCTCAGAGGTCTTCTAGTTCAGCCCCCCTGCTAAAGCAGGAGACCCCAGACAATTTCAATCAATCAGAAGAGAGCTGGAAGGGACCTTGGAGGTCTTCTAGTCCAGCCCCCCCCCCTGCTCAAGCAGGAGACCCCAGACCATTTCAATCAATCAAGGCCAACAGAAATCTCACTTTTTCCGCAACGTCGCGCAACAAGAAAACACAACCTTGCGGCTCCAGCAATCGCGAGAGTTTGAGAGAGACCCACAGGGAGGGGGGAGGGGGGAGTGCGAGAACCCGTTGAGAGAGTCCGGGGTGTGCGCATGTGTGTGGGAAAACCTGACCCCCCGAGACCGAACGAGGTTCTCCCTCCACCCCTGCCAAGTTCTCCGCAAGGCTAAGCCAAGCGCCAAGAGGGGCGTTAGGGAGGCAGCCTTACCCGATTCTCATCGTAGATGATCTGGACGACGCTGCGGTGCTTCTGCTCCACCGGCGGAGGCGACACGGGCTTCTCCGGTTCAGGCGGTTTAGCCGCTTCTTCCTCCAGCTGTTGCTAAGAGACAAGAGGGAGGGGCGGGGAGAGAGGAACGTCAGCTGGACCCGCGTAGGCACTGAAGTCAGAGATAAGGCGAACATCTGGAGTGGCCAGATGCTGCCTTGGCGAGTTCGGGAGAGGGGTGGGCCGGTCGTAGCAAACATTGCAGCATTCGGACGGACTTAAGACTGCCAAAAAAATACCGCTGCAACCAGCCTGCCTTCTGTTGAAGAGCTGTATATATTAGGAGGGGAGGGGGAGTTCGGAAGGAGGACTGAGAAAACAACTGCAGATCCCCCCCCCTCACATCCTGGACATTATAATCTTTCTCAAGTCTTCAGCTCAGGAGCCCTTCGTTGGGTGGGGTGTGCCAAAACAACTAGACACAGGGATGGTGTTTCTCCCCCCCCCCCCTTTGTGCAATCGCTCTGCTGAACACCTAATTCCCAGGGCACTTGACTTAAGTCTCAATGTATTCCTCCGTGTTGTACAGCTGTGGTATTATGGTATTATCACCCTGCTCACCTCCTCTTATTACTCCCTTTTTGGTATCACATGTTGATGATTACTCTGTCGCTTTGCATGTACACAGAGAGCTTCTGCACCAGAGACAAACTCCTTGTGTGTCTAATCATATTTCACCAAATACACTATTAGTATTTATCCCATTTAATTCTTGTTCCATTCTACTCTAATTCTATTCTAATTCTAATTCTTATTCTATTCCTATTCCATTCCTATTTTTTCTATTTCTTATTTTATTCTATTCCTACTCTTTTTATTTCTTATTCTATTTTATTTCTTATTCTATTCTATTTCTTATTCTATTCTATTTCTTATTCTATTCTATTCCTATTCTGTTTCTATTTCTTATTCTATTCTATTTCTTACTCTATTCCTATTTCCATTGTTTCTATTTCTTATTCTATTCTATTTCTTACTCTATTCCTATTTCCATTGTTTCTATTTCTTATTCTATTCTATTTCTTATTCTGTTTTTATTTCTTATTCTATTCTATTCTATTCCTATTCCTATTTGTTTCTATTTCTTATTCTATTCTATTCTATTTCTTATTCTACTCTATTCTATTCCTATTCCTATTCCTATTCTGTTTCTATTTCTTATTCTATTCTATTTCTTATCCTATCTTATCCTACTCTACTCTTTCCGTTATCAGGTTAAAAGAGGCAAAATGTAGGAAAAAAGAAGACATTCAGCTGGGAAACTGTTGAGCCTCCCAGACCCAGCTAAATCCAAAACCGCTGGAGAATTCCCGGAGGCCGGGCCCTTCGACAAATCAGCCATCTACAGACAGGATCAGAAAGCTCAAAAGGCCACACCGCCTTCTCCTTGCCAGCAATCAACGCCCCAATAAACAGAGATTAACACCCAGATTAATCCCAGACTGACAATCGAGTAATAAACAATATCACAAAGGAACCGTCAACTCAGATAAACAAAGAGTGAACATCAAGGACAGACACACCTTCTAGCACTGATGATGTTACCTAGTTGGGTCACGAAACGTCTGCAAGAAAACCACCAACCTCGGAGAGCACCAGGGACCCCACAGTCATCCTCCTCCTCCCTGCAAACCCCCACCCCATTCTATCCCTGATGACATTAATTGTTGGGTCATGAAACATCTCTTAAGAAAACCACCAAATTTAGAGAGCACCAAGGACCCCACTGTTCAACTCTGACCTACAAACATTCTTTCCTAACAAATTCTGTGGGTGCAAGACACCCCTAGGGATGTTTGTTCTGTTAGGATACAGCCTGTTGTGCCTTAAAAATGGCTTCTACTGTACTGCCATAAAATGACTTCTACTGTACAGCTCAGTGGAGTTGCCATGGTAACTGCTTCATAGTACTCCACAAGGAGGCTCCCTCTGGTAAGGGGGGGAAATCCAACGTTAGAAATCATGTTTCTCCAGATATTTCTCCCCTATAAATAAACACTCGGGCAACGCCGGGTTATCGGCTGGTGGGAAATTAGATGTTATGGCTGTCCTCTCTTAAGGAGGTCCATCTGGTGGGACCAAGAAGAAGAGCCTTCTTTGTGGTGGCTCCCTCCCTGTGGAACATCATCCCTGTGGAAATAAGATTGGAAATAAGATATTATGGATCTCCTCTATTAAGGGGGCCTGGTGGGACCTGGTGGGATCAAGAGGGGGGGGGGGCTTCTCCATGGTGGCTCCATTCCTGTAGACCATCATCCATGCAAAGAATGGAAATAAGATATTATGGATCTTCTCTCTTAAGGAGAGAAGTGGAAGGACCTTCTTCGTGGTGGCTCCCTCCCTGTGGAAGATCATCCCCACAGAGCTAGAATTGGAAATAAGACGCTATGGGTCTCCTCCCTTAAGGAGGCCCATCTGGTGGGATCAGCTATGCTGGGATTTCCACCTGGAACGAGTCAAGGCGAATGAGTTGGGCAGCCCCATCGGTTTTCTTAGCTCCGTCAAATCCGAGGCTCCTGATCTCCACTGACCTGCTTTTTCCTCAGTTTGAGGATCTGCTGCTCCACTTTGGCGATCTCCCGGTCGACACGGTCCATGCTCTGGATGAGCTCTTCCTTCGACAGCTTGGAGGGAGAGGCGTTCTGGTCCTCTCCGCACGACTGGCTCGACATGGGCGACGGAGGGCCTTCATGCTTGCCTCCAAAGACTGGATCCTGCCGTTTGGAAAGAGAGAGGGAGGGGTAGGGAGGGAGGGGTATGGAGATGGATAGGGGAGAGAGAGGGTGGGAGGGAGAGATAGGGAGGGAGAGACAGGGAGAGGGAGAGAGAAAGAGGGAGTGAAAGGTAGAGGGAGGGATAGAGAGAGAGGGAGAGAGAGATGGGAGGAAGGGGGGAATAGGGGGAGAAAGTTGGGAGATGGGAAGAGGAGAGGGAGGGAGGGAGAGAGGAAGAGGGAGGGAGGGGAGAGAGGGTGGGAGGGAGAGATAGGGAGGGAGAGACAGGGGGGGGGAGAGAGTAAGAGGGAGTGAAAGGTAGAGGGAGGGATAGAGAGAGAGGGAGGGAGAGATGGGACGAAGGGGGGAATCGGGGGAGAAAGTTGGGCGATGGGAAGAGGAGAGGGAGGGAGGGAGAGAGAGGGAGAGGGAGAAAGAGGGAGTGAAAGGTAGAGGGAGGGATAGAGAGAGAGGGAGGGAGAGACAGGGAG